TAATTTTCTAAATTATATAAAATTGAAATAACAAAGGTAAATATTACCTGTTCATTTCAGTGATGGGTTTCAATAATGCCGACTGTTCTCCCGTTCGTGATGGGTTTCAATAATGCGGACTGCTATCAGACGCAAAAAAGGTTTGTTATAAATATTAATTATAATAATTTTCTAAATTATATAAAATTGAAATAACAAAGGTAAATATTACCTGTTCAAAAGGTTTGTTATAAATATTAATTAAAATAATTTTTTAAATTATATAAAATTGAAATAACAAAGGTAAATATTACCTGTTCATCATGAAAATGCCTTATAGCTCTCCCGTGGGTTTCAATAATGCAGACTGCTCTCAGACGAAAAAAAGGTTTGTTTCTTTTGTTAACGTACCCCAGTCTGGAAGCATTATATATCAAGTGTACCCAGCCTGCTCGTGATGAGTTTCAATAATGAGGACTGCTCTCAGACGCAAAAAAGGTTTGTTATAAATATTAATTAAAATAATTTTCTAAATTATATAAAATTGAAATAACAAAGGTAAATATTACTTGTTCATCATGAAAATGCGTTACAACTCTCCTGTTCGTGATGGTTTCAATAATGCTTTGCTATAAATATTAATTAAAATAATTTTCTAAATTATATAAAATTGAAATAACAAAGGTAAATATTACCTGTTCATCATGAAAATGCGTTACAACTCTCCTGTTCGTGATGGTTTCAATAATGCGGACTGCTCTCTCCCGTTCGTGATGGGTTTCAATAATGTGGACTGCTCTCAGACGCAAAAAAATGTTTGTTATAAATATTAATTAAAATAATTTTCTAAATAATATAAAATTAAAATAAAAAAGGTAAATATTACCTGTTCATCATGAAAATGCGTTATAGCTCTCCCGTTCGTGATGGGTTTCAATAATGCGGACTGCTCTCAGACGAAAAAAAGGTTTGTTTATTTTGTTAACGTACCCAGTCTGGAAGCATTATATATCAAGTTTACCCCAGCCTGGAAGCATTATATTGTATATGCGATGAAAAATTATTCTCTGTAATTTTTTTTACTCGTGAATGATGAGTTGTAATGGTGGTAGTGAATATCCTTTTATACAATTTTTATTAACAAAAGTGATAAGATAATTATGGATTGTATTTGGATAGATTTTAAATACCATGATTTTTGGGATGCAACAATCACATGTATATATCTTATCACGTTAAAGGTATATCCATCCCTAAAAAACAGGAAAAAAAAAACATATATTTTGAAACGATTTTTAAATTAGTTTCTACAAATGGAAAGTCAATGGGGTTGTTGACCAATTTTTTAAAAGTTTCCACAAATGATTTATTGACCTCTCTTTTTCAATATATATAGATATAATAAGAATAAATATTTACTAAAAATATTAGTAAAAAATTTTGGGAGCATTTAACGTATACTTTTATTTGAAAATTTTATAAAGCTATGTATTAATTGATTCTATACACTTTTTCAAATAAAATTAAATCAGATATGATAAAAAATATTGTTTCCTTAAATAATTTTATTAACATCTCCAATAATTTCATTGATATCCATTTTCCTAAATTACAAAATTAATTTTTCGTGATTCATGTTGATAATATGTTAGTCAAGATATATATCACAACATATTTAAGTTTTAACCATAATATTAGTTTTTTCACAAATATTCACTTTTTATCCAAAAAATATTTATATAAAATTCTAACAAGTCAGGTAGAATTTTTTCTTCCATTTAATCAGGCGAAATAAAGTTGGTGAATTAATATTTGTCAATATAATTTTTTCTTAAATTTTATTTGATTATATATACAAAAATAATTATTCTTAAAATTAATATAATTTACCATTTAAAACATAATTACGACCAGATACATTAAATAGTTTTACTAATTATCAAAATAAAAATTATAATATATTAACAGTTCTTTAGAATTTATTTGTATATTATTGGCAAGCATGATTATTTTTTTATTATTTTATTTTATTTTGATTTCTTTCTATTATTTTTTCTTACTATTTTTTTTTATTTGATTTCTTTCTATAATGAAATTATTGTAAAATACTTTTTCATTGCAGAGTATGCTAAATAAACTAGGAATTTTTATAATGTAAATTAGAAAAATCTTAATTATAGAAGGGATTGAGCTTTTGCCATTTTCGAAATCAAAATTGTTTAATTAATATATAAAATTAAATCCTAAAAAAACATGTGTGTATATTTTGTAAAATATTTATATACTATTTAATTATGGATTTATTTATATATTTTAAATTGATTATAAATATAAATAATAATAACGTGCCTTGAATATCTTTTATTACATAAAATAAAAAGAAAAATAAGATGTACAACTTGTATAATTTTTATAAATAAAAATGACTTTATATGATAATAAAATTTATAATAAAATAATAACTAAGTATTATATGGTGAACAAAAAAAATTAAAACTGTTATTTTCTCTTATATCAAGGAATATATATATATATATATATATATATATATATATATATATATATATATATTAAAATTAAATATATATTAGTATAAACGTGTTAGTGAGATAATATATTAATTATTTACAAGTTAGTCGTAAAATGCTCATATTTAATGTTCTGGCTAAAAAAACAATGCTGATTAAAAGAAATTGTAACTTAATGCTGATTACAAGAGGTGGAAAATAAATGATAACCCTATTGCTTTTTAAACTTAAAAAGACATAGCCTGTAAGAATAATTAATTTTATATCTTTGTCCCGTGTATCGCGCGGGGTACACGTACTAGATTATGAGTAAACAATGACTCTTAACTAATTTATATTTTGAGATCATATTGTTTGTTAATTAGAGTTACATTTTCTGCATTTTTGTTTTTAATTCTTTCTCAACATTCTGGTAAGTTTTATAGATTTCGACTACTTTAATGGACCTTTTCTGGTGTATATTTCAAGTTACAATTTTATTTTTTTTACTTATCATTTGTTCTAAAATTCAATATTTTTTCAATGTAATTCAGTAGTACAAGTGTAAGAATAGGACAAATGTAATTTTCTCTTTTAGTTTGTACTTAAAAAATAAAATAAAATAATAAATTGGTTAAAATTCAGATTATATTTGTATATAAAAAATTTCACTCAAAATTTCATTCAACTCAAAATTTAACTCTACCTTAACTAAACTCCAGTATCCTCAATATCTGTACTTATATAATAAGAATTAACATTTATTCAAAATAGTAGTTCAAATTATGGTCAATGTCGGATTTGCATTAAATATTTTCCAAAACCGGTAAGTTTTTGTCCTTTTCACACTTCTCATTAATTATGTCCTTTTTGCACATATTTCCATGAAGCGTCCTTATCGCGTTCTATTTTTTGGTAACTACTCTATATCAATAACCGGATATTTGGTTAATGATAGCACACGTCTTTATTTCAAGGAGCGAATATTATTTGACCTTTAATTAATCTGAATTGATTGCCTTGACTTTGCAATTTTTAAAAACTCTTTTTTTATCGCACGTTGGTCTTTTCCTGAAGAAACTCGTTTTTAGTCACGACCAATTATATGTTGCTGCTTCGCATGTAAATAATAGAAGGGGGTTTGAAAATATTAGTTTGTGATAATGGGGAGTTACCAAATAATCAAACTCATAATGTTGTGTACAAGGAGGTTTTTAATAATTTATGATTGTTACCGAATTTTTTATGATTCAACAATGTTCCTATGTATTTTAGTGATTTCAATTTCGATCCTAATGCACGTGAGATTATATTATTCTCGTGAGATTATATTATTCTTTCAAATTTTACATCCCGTGCATCGCACAGGTTACGTACTAGTTATCATATAATTAAATAATATCATCTAATCATTCTTAAATATCACATCTACTTTAATTCACTATTCATCCACTCATATAATGTTAACTCATCATCACTCCATATCATCTCTCTCCTTTTACATCAAATCAATTTTAATTATTTTATTATAAATATTATTTTAATATAAGCCAAAATCCCACCAATAACTAACCATATAATCTTTTCCCAAATTAACTATAGTTAAAAAAAAAATACACTTTGACTGAAAATTTTTGTATACAAAGATGCTAGAGATCTAATAGTATGTATTTACCTAGCCAACTCAGATATGCAACACAATTATGTCAATTCCACATTTTTTTCCCCTTCTAAAGACCTTGTTTCATTCTCACCACTTTTCACTTTTCTTCATAACAGATTAATGAATTTTGTATGCAGAGCACTCTGTTTTATAACAAACAAACATGAACTTCATCAACTAATTTACACAATATAAATAATCATTATCATTATATATATAATATGAGTGGCGTTTTAAAATCTTCACAAGATAGAACATCAACAATAACAATAATAACAAGAATAATAATAATGATGATATATAAATGAGGAAATGAACTTCATCAACTAATAATATAAGCTTCTCCAGTTTTTTCCCCCTTTTTCCTTGACAATTAAACAAACCTCAAACACGGATCCTTTTATTTCTTATCTCCATAAACGACGCCCTCGTAATCTGCGCGGTTAAATGAGGATTTTTTAGCGCGAAAGCATCGAAACGCTCGGAAAAAACCACGTCCTCCATGTTTCGAACTATGAAGTTCAAAGCCGTGTCCTTCAACGATTGGTTGGAACACGTGTCGGATATTTCCAACACATCGAGCGCATTTGAAGTGCTCAACGTGCCCAACATGTAGGTCTCGCAAAACCTCTTGAGAAACGGGATTTCGTATTTATCCGCAGCAACCAATAAAGTATACACGTGCCTCTCGATTTTTTCTCTCGAGAGAATCCCTCGGTATAGAAACTCGAGGAGCGAACTCAACTCATCGTGGTTAAATTCGGGAAGAGTTATCGTGTGGTTGGGTGGGGCCTTGCACTCGTCCGAGTCGAGCATGTTTCGAAAAATGCTCGATCTTGCTGCCTGTGAAAAATTGAAATTGAACATTTACTAGACAAGGAGATCAAACATGAAAACTGAAAAATATGATTAATTATCATATCGATAGTCATACCAATAAGGCTTTGTGTGAAGGAATAGAGGGTCCATCATTTCCAGGCTTCACTTCGATATCAGTATGAATCCCATCCCTTAATATTACTGCAATTCTATGCAAATAAATCATCCTCTCTTTTTGCAACTTTTCATTTCTCTTCATTCCCTTCACCCATTGTACCGCTTTTTCTAGTCCCTGACACATAAACAATCATTGGAAACACGATTTTTAAAGCAAGGTTTTCCCAATCTTTCTTTAAATATATTTGGAAAAGTGAAAATCATCACTTTCATCCCAAAAACAATTGATATTAATTATTATTATTGTTATTATTATTATTATTATTTTTACACCCATCATTAAAAAACTATCTTTTTCACCTGACTAATTGGTCCAAAAAAGAAATTGGTCTTTTGAAAAACACAAATTTTTATAGGGTGATTTTAGAAAATGTGTCACACAAGACAAATTCTCCAATGTGTCCTAATTATGGCATCAAGATTACACATATGTGGCTATATAAAATCAAAAATACTTTTTGTGCAGGGCATGTGAATAATACCACATCTTGTGATAAAAGTATAAAAATAGTAAAAATAATAATTAAACGGACCTAACAAAAACCTACTAAAATACAACAAAAATTGCAAGCTATACTAATCAAGTTCAATTAACAATGTGTAAAGAAAATAAAAAAGAAAAGAGAACGCGATACCTTGGCCGAATTTGGTGAAGAAGAAGATGAGATACCACTGGATTTATTATCATAGCTATTTTCTTTATCAATTATTTTCGTGAGAGTAACTATGCTTTTGGCATCTCCATAACAAACTCCACAGATTGAATATATGTGTGTGGGATATGGAGCTTGTTGTAAGCCAAGGCAAATAGCACAATAATTCATTCTTCCCCCCCTTTTCTTTTTTCTGTTGGTTTTTTGAGAGAAGAAAAATTGTGAACGTGTGAAGAAAATTAAAGAAAATAGAACCAAAATAAACAAATATTTAATTATTTATATAAGAACAAGAAAGGGGTTATATATGGTATCTAATGTCCTATCTCCCAGGATAAATCTCCAAATATCAAGGAGAATAGGAGATATACTAACTTACGTTAACTAATAAGAGTAAAAAAATTGACTTTTGTAACTATCCTACAATTGGAAATAGTACCTCTTTTTTAAACTTTTTAAATATATGTATTAATTATTTTTATATACACTTTAATCGATTAAAAATATTATTTTTTTAAATAATTTTATTAATATGTGCAATAATTTCATTTATTTTCATTATAATAAATTACAAGATTAATTTTTCGTAATTCATATTGATAATATTTTGCTCAAGATAAATATTACAACATATTTTAAGTTCTAACCATAATATTAATTTTTTTTTCACACATATCCACTTTTTATCCAAAAAAATAATTATAAAAAATCGTAACAATTTAGGCATAATTTTTTCTTCTAATTAATTAGGCGAAATTAAGTTGGTGAATTAGTCTTTGTCAATATATTTTTTTCTTAAGCTTTAATTCATTATATATAAAAAATAAATTATTATTCAAATTAATATAATTTACTATTTAACTATTTTATATTTTGAGATCATATTGTTCGTTAATTAGAGTTACATTTTCTGATTTTTTATTTTTAATTTTTTCTCAACATTGTGGTAAGTTTTATAAATTTCGACGACTTTAATGGACCTTTTCTGAAAAAAATTCTCTCCCCGTCGCCGATTCACAATTTCGTCGCCTTCCACACGGCTTCCGGGTTGCTCCGGTAGTCGTCCTATGCCCCAACCCGGTTGCTGCGCCTTCCCTGGTCCTGCTCTCCCATGGTTGAGTTCGCCCGGATTCGACTCGCCTGCTCCGGTGGGTTTCGCCTCTGGTTCCCGATCGACTACCATCGTGGTGCTGAGGTGGGGATGGGTGAGGTGCAGTCTCTGCGGGAAGGGGTTGGGTGCGGCTCCGGCGGCTCGCGGCTTCGGACGGGAGTGGCTAGGGATGCAGCTCTTCAGATTTGCTCCCTCTCCCTGATTCTCTGGCGCTGGGTTTCGGGGAGATTGTCGACGGTACCAAGTCGCTAGTGGTGTTAGTCGACTTGGTGCTGTGGCGGCTGGGTGATCTTGGAGTTCCGACTTTGGGGAGAATTGGCTTTTTGGGGTATTTCGATGCTTTAGATTCGGCTCAGCTAGGCAGTTTGGCAGTGCCGGGGTCGACTTTCTCGGGCTGAGTTCCTCCAGGTCGATTTGGGGACTGCTGGTTCATCTCGGATTTGCTTATGTGGAAGGGCTTATGTGCTTTTTATGTCTTTGTGTTTAGTTTTTCTGTTGATTTGTTGTCTGTGTTTGTTGATTAGGTCTGTGTTTTTTAGTTTGGGTCGTTGGCCTCTGTGTGCCTGAGTGTAAAACATATTATTCTGTTGGGATCAGACACTCGAGTATTATCTTGGTGGGATATTTTGTTTAGTAGTTTCCATTGTTATTGTTGTAGTTGGTTAGTGTAGTTGCTGAGTGTTTTTCTTCTAGCTTTACTAGCGGGACTTTCAGGCGGCCTTCTGACATGTCATCCCACTTTTTCAGCTGTTGACTGCTCCATTCAGCTGTATTCGTTCATTTGTGCATTTTGATTTGTAATATAATATTATATATCATTTTGAAAAAAAAAAATGGACCTTTTCTGGCGCATATTTCAAGTTCAAATTTTCTTTTTATGTTTTTTCTTATTATTTGTTCTAAATTTAATATATATTACATTCTAGTATACCCACATAACTGAAAATATTTTGTAAATAGAATGTACAGTACAAGTGTAAGAATAGGACAAATGTAATTTTCTCTTTTAGTTCGTACTTAAAAGAAAATTGGTTAAAATTGAAACTAATTAAGTTAGTATGATGTATGACATGTATTTACCTAGCCATCTAAGATATGCAACTCATTTATGTAAATTCTACATTTCTTCCCTTCTAAAGACGTTTTGCCACCAAATTATGCATTTATCTATGCATGTTTAATCTAATTTGTGGCCGTTCAATAATTAGAATTGACATCTAATGTCATCTTCTTTCATTCACCAGTTTTATCATTTCTTCATGACAGATTAATGAGTTTTGTAAGCAGAGCATTCTGTTTCATTTTCATAACAACATATATGAACTTCATCAACTAATAATATACTCATGAATTAAACAATACAAGCTTCTCCAGTCTTCTCACCCTTTTTCCTTGACAATTAAACAAACCTCAAACACGGATCCTTTTATTTCTCATCTCCGTAAACAACGCCTTCATAATCTGCACGGTTAAACGAGGATTTTTTAGCGCGAAAGCTTCGAAACGCTCGGAAAAAACCACGTCCTCCATGTTTCGAACGATGAAATTCAAAGCCGTGTCCTTCAACGATTGGTTGGAACACGTGTCGGATATTTCCAATACGTCGAGCGCGTTTGAAGTGCTCAACGAGCCCAACATGTGGCTCTCGCAAAACCTCTTGAGAAACGGGATTTCGTATTTATCCGCAGCAACCAATAAAGTGTACACGTGCCTCTCGGTTTTTTCTCTCTCTAGACTCCCTCCGTATAGAAACTCGAGGAGCGAACTCAACTCATCGTGGTTAAGTTCGGGAACAGTTATCGTGTTGTTCGGTGGAGCCTCGCACTCGTCTGAGTCGAGCATGTTTCGAAACATGCTCGATCTTGCTGCCTGTGAAAAATTGTAATTCAACATTTACTAGACAAGGAGATCAAACATGAAAACTGAAAAATATGATTAATTATCATATCAATACATACCAATAAGGCTTTGTGTGCAGGAATAGAGGGTCCACCATTTCCAGGCTTCACTTCAATATCGGTATGAATCCCATCACTTAATATTACTGCGATTCCACTCAAATAATCTATCCTCTCTTTTTGCAACTCTTCATATTTCTTCATTTCCTTCACCCATTGTACCGCTTTTCCTAGTCCCTGACCCATAAACAATCATTAGAAACACGATTTTTAAAGCAAGGTTTTCCCAATCTTTCTTTAACTATTTTTGGAAAAGTGAAAATCATCACTTTCATCCCAAAAGCAATCGATATTACTTATTATTATTATTATTATTTTTACACACATCATTAAAAAACTATCTTTTTCACCTGACTAATTGGTCCAAAAAAGAAATGTCTTTTGAAAAACACAAATTTTTATAGGGTGATTTTAAAAAATGTGTCACACAAGACAAATTCTCCAATGTCTCTTAATTAGGGCATCAAGATTACCCATATGTGGCTATATAAAATCAAAAATACTCTTTGTGCAGGATAAAAATTGTAAAAATAATAATTAAACGGACCTAACAAAAACCTACTAAAATACAACAAATTGCAAGCTATACTAACCAAGTTCAATTAACAATGTGTGAAGAAAATAAAAAAGAAAAGAGAACGCGATACCTTAGCCGAATTTGGTGAAGAAGAAGATGAGTTACCACTGGATTTATTATCATAGCTATTTTCTTTATCAATTTTTTGCGTGAGAGTAACTATGCTTTTGGCATCTCCACAACAAACTCCACAGATTATGTTTGTGGGATATGGAGCTCGTGAGCAAATAGCACAATAATTCATTCTTCCGCCCTTTTATTTCTGTTGGTTTTTTGATAGAAGAAAAATTGTGAACGTGTGAAGAAAATAAAGAAAATAGAACCAAAATAAACAAATATTTAATTATTTATATAAGAACAAGAAAGGTGTTACTATATGCTATCTAATCTCACATAATAAATCTCCTAATATCAAGGAGAATAGGAGATATATTAACTTACGTTAGTTAAGAGTAATAAAATTTACTCTTGTAACTATCCTACAATTGGAAATAGAATTACTCTCTTGCCCTATTGTATTTGCTTTTGTCGCTAGACTTGTCAAAACAGGCTGGCGGGCAGGCCGGCCCGCAGCCCGCCCCATGGGCCGCGGGCTAGGCGGGCTGGCCCGCCAATTTTTTTTTTTTTTAATTAAAGAAAAACCACCGGCTTAGGCTGCTTGTAACATGATGCGTGATGCGTCAAGAACAAATTCCAAAAGAAAAAAAACAACACCTGGTAGTTAAAAATTAAGAAAAAAACACCTCCAAAAGAAAATAGAGAAAAACAAATCAAATTCAACTCATCATCCATCAAAAGAAAATAGAGAAAAACAAATCAAATTCAACTCATCATTCATCGAGTTCAGAATTCAATCCATAATCACAACATTGATTCAATTCACAGTCACCCAATTCAATTCAAAATCACTGACAAATACACACAAATACACCCCATAGAATAGATAGAACAAAGAATCAAAGGGGTTCAGCTATCATTACCCTTTACCGAAATGGAGTTGCCTTGTCGTTCCCGGCGCCGCTCGGAGACACTGCTTACCGCTAGCCACTCGCCGCTCCAGTGCAATTGTCGAAGGTCTCGCCGCTCGCCACTCGAGTCGAGGTCCCGCCGCTCGAGTCGAAGCCTCGCAACGTCTTGCCGCCGCCGCTCGAAGGATAAGAGATTGAGTATGAGATGAGACTAGAGAGACGAGAGCTTTTAGGTTTACGGTTTACAAATGAGTGAAAGGACACGCCCGACTCTCTCACTCTTATTGAACCATTGATTTTGGGCGGAAAAGAAAAAAGCAATAAGTTGGGTTTCAGGCCTTTTCAAATATTTTTCCTTTTCTGTTGGGCTTCACTCTTCAGTTGGGCTTATGGGCATTGATTATCTATTTAACCATTAAATAGGCGGGCTAGCCCGCGGCCCGCCAGGCCCGCCCCACCAAAGCTTGCATCCCGCGTGGGCTGTCCCGTTTAGGACCGCTCCCTAGTGGGCCTCTAACGGGACGGGCCGGCCCGCGGGCCCAAGTCGGTTTTCACAAGTCTATTTGTCGCCCCTTGAAATCCTAACATGTGACATTTTAGTTAATTAAGATATTTACAAAAAAATAATTAATAATGAACCTTACTTAAAAAAATATTTTGAAAAATAATTTAATTCTAAAAAATTGTAAGTTATTATTGTAAAACAGAAATTTATTGAATTTTTTTAATTGATTTTTTTTTCGACATAAGAAAATATTACAATAATATTAATTAAAATAATTAATTTCATAATCTTCTGTATGAAAGATATATTATTAGAAATAAATAATTTAATGGTATCTTTCGATCTTCAATTGAATCTCCGAAATTTCAGCGATAGACCGACGAAATTTCTAATTTTTTGTTGAACATTTCAACCAACGACTCGATTGTACAGAATTATGTGTAAACAGTGGCTCTTAACTATCCATCGATTGTCCAAAATCTATATATATATATATAATAATAATAATAAGAAGAAGAAGAAGAAGAAAAATAACCATTTTTTAAAAATAGTAGTAAAAATTTCTGGGACCATTTAATGTATACATTTTTTTGAAATTTTTTTAAATATATGCATTACTTGCTTCTATATACAAATTTTCAAGTAAGATCAAATAATATATGATCAAACATATTATTTCCTTAAATAATTTTATTAATATCTGCGATAATTTCATTGATATTCACTATAATAAATAACAAGATTAATTTTCTGTAATTCATGTTGATAATATTTTGGTCAAGATAAATATTACAACATATTTTAAGTTCTAACCATAATATTAATTTTTTTCACAAATATTCACTTTTTAATCCAAAAAATAATTATAAAAAATCGTAACAGGTTAGGTAGATTTTTTTCTTCCAATTAATCAGGTGAATTCAAGTTGGTGAATTAGTCTTTGTCAATATAATTTTTTCTTAAGTTTTATTTCGTTATATATAAAAAAAATAACCTATTATTTAAATTAATATAATTTATCATTTAAGAGATAATGACCAAATACATTAAATAATTTTACTAATGGTAAAAAAATAAAATTGAAATATATTAATTCTTTTTAGAATTTATTTGGATATTATTGGCAACCATGATTATTTTTTTTATCATTTTTTTTTTTGTTGATTTCTTTTTATAATGAATTTATTGTAAAATCTATATATATATAATTACTGTGTCATGAGCATTTAAGAAAACCTATTTAATAAAATTTCCAAGTTTTTCCCGCCTAAATCAGTTACTAAATATTATTTCACCCTGTATCCAATCTTTTTAATACAACACTTATTCATATTGATGTTATTAATTGAATATGCTGAAATTAAGGTTCTTTTTATTATAAATCGTTTTGAACTTTGAAAAAACTAAACAATGTGGGATAAAAGTCAGTTTTATTTATGTTAAATATATAAATATTGAGATTGTACTATAAGTTAGGTTTAGGCTAAGGCTCATATGTGTATCTATATATATGTGTACTCCTCTTTGTGAATATCATTATTAGATATTTTTCCACATTCTCACATGGTATCAGACTATCTGGGACCGTGTGATGACGTACCCATTGTTTATCCTCCACGTACCCGTTTATGGGAGCCTGTTTGTAGTAGGGCTTGGGGCACCCAGCCCAGTTGGGTTTGGGCTTTCGAAGGACTCACAAGTGAGGGGGCGTGTTAGAATATCACTTGTGAGTTGTCCCACATCGTTCATATATGGAAAATAGACCCACCTTATAAGACTAATGGGCTACTCCTCCTTCCACCAATTGGTTTTGGGATGGAACCCCATTTGGGCTTTATATGGGCTTTTCCCTTCTTTCATGGTGTCCTTCATGGTAGTGGGCCAGCACCCATTTTCCCCCAGTTCTTCGAGATATCAGTCCTTTTGAACGTTTGCACGGTCAGTCGCCTGATTATACTCAGTTACGTCCTTTTGGTTGTGTTTGCTTTGTTCTTCTCCCCTCCCATGAGCGGACCAAGTTAGAACCTCGAGCTCGTTTGTGTTGTTTTTTGGGTTATGGGGTAGAACACAAAGGGTTTAGGTGTTGGGATCCTATTGCTAATTGGTTGCGTATTTCGCGTCACGTTACCTTTTGGGAGCATACTACTTTTTCTTCTTTGTCTAAATTTCACATTCCGTTTGATTCGTCATCCCCTTTCTTCATGTCCATTACTTCGGATCTCTTTCCAGATACTTGTCCTGACTCACAGCTCATTGACACGCCTGTCATGCCTCCGTCTTCTGAAGTGACTCCACCTGCGCATCCTGAACTGCCGCTCCCTGTTGAGTCCTCTTCTGATTCTGTCCCTTCACCTACCATTGATCACCGACGATCAACTCGTGTAAGTCGTCCCCCTTCTCACTTACTTGACTATCATTGTTATTCGGCCATATTATCTCATCATGAGCCTAGCTCTTTTCGTGAGGCAAGTGCTGATCCATTGTGGCAACAAGCTATGGCTGATGAGTTGCAGGCGTTAGAGAAGACTCATACTTGGGATTTGGTGGATCTACCTGCTGGAAAGAAACCTATCGGATGCAAATGGGTTTATAAGATCAAGACAAATTCAGATGGTTCTATTGAGCGCTACAAAGCTCGTCTAGTTGCTAAAGGGTACTCACAGGAGTACGGCATCGATTATGAAGAGACCTTTGCACCAGTTGCTCGTCTTACTACTGTTCGGTGTTTACTTTCTGTTGCTGCTGTTCGTCGATGGTCTCTTCTGCAGTTAGATGTCAAAAATGCCTTCTTGCATGGTGCCTTATCTAAGGAGGTTTACATGACTCCACCTCCAGGGTCCTTGTCCTCTGGGAAGGTTTGGCGTCTACGTCGAGCTTTGTATGGTTTGAAACAAGCTCCTCGTGCCTGGTATGCCACGTTCAGTTCTGCATTGTTTCAGTTTGGTTTCACTACGAGTGATCATGATTCCGCTTTGTTTCTTCGGCGCTCCTCTTCTGGGATTATTATTTTGCTTCTCTATGTTGACGATATGATCATCACGGGAGATGATGTTACTGGTATTTCCGATTTACAGGACTATCTTCGTCAGCATTTTGAGATGAAGAGTTTGGGCAGCTTCGCTATTTTTTGGGTCTTGAGATTTCTGATTCCGTTGATGGCTTCTATTTGTCTCAAGCCAAGTATGCCTCTGATCTTCCTGCTCGAGCCGGTCTCACAGATTCTCAGACAGCTTCCACTCCTCTATATTATGATGTTCGTCTTACTCCACTAGATGGCTCTCTTCTTGAGGATCCTACATTATATCGCCAGCTTGTTGGGAGTTTGATATATTTGACTGTCACTCGGCCTGATATAGCTCATGCTGTTCATATTGTGAGTCAGTTTATGGCTGCTCCGAGAACCACGCATCATTCAGCTGTGTTGCACATTCTTCGCTATGTGAAAGGCACTCTATTGCATGGTCTACACTTCTCTGCTCGTTCTTCCTTGACACTTAGCGGCTATTCTGATGCAGATTGGGCTGGAGATCCTACTAATCGTCGTTCCATTACTGGGTACTGCTTATTTCTGGGTGATTCACTCGTCTCTTGGCGTAGTAAGAAGCAAACCTTAGTCTCCAGATCGAGTGCTGAGTCTGAGTACCGTGCTCTTGCTGACTCCACCTCCGAGCTATTATGGTTACGTCGCCTACTTACTGATCTTGGTGCTCCTCAGTCGTCGTCTACTGCTTTACATTGTGATAGTCAGAGTGCTATAAAGATGTCTCATAATGATACCTTTCATGAGCGCACCAAGCATATTGAGATTGATTGTCACTTCATTCGACAACATGTTGCCCGTGGGACTGTGAAGCTTGTTCCCGTCTCCTCTACAGATCAACCAGCGGATGTCTTCACCAAGTCTCTCCTTCCCGGTCGCTTTTGTTTACTTCTTAGCAAACTCAAGTTGATCTCCACGATACCACCTTGAGTTTGAGGGGGGGTGTTAAATATGTAAATATTGAGATTGTACTATAAGTTAGGTTTAGGCTAAGGCTCATATGTGTATCTATATATATGTGTACTCCTCTTTGTGAATATCATTATTAGATATTTTTCCACATTCTCACAATTTATTTATTTATTTATTACAATATAGGTTTTTATAATGTTGAATGAAAGTAATATTTTTTAAGAATTTAAGTTTTTATGGTTGGTGAGAAAAACTTAATTGGATTTTGACTAACTTATTTCCAGCAAATATATTTACTTAATTATTGTGATTAGAAAAGAAATAGTAAGTTTTTAATGTTGGTGAAAAAACATAATTGGAATTTGACCAGCAATATCGAAATTATCTTTTGAGAGTAGTATAATCCGTTTAGCATAAATTAGAACAAAAAATTATAGGATCATTTTTTGTTAATCAATAGTAACACAATCATTTAATGGACATGCTAATATCAAGCATTTTAATAAAAAACGGTTAGAATACAATAAAGTAAGATATAATGCTATTTTGACCCGTTGTATAAAATGTGAGTTGAAATTGTTATTTTCATTATAGTTTAATTTTTGTAATTACTGTGGATGTCAAACTGAATTTAGCATTATAATTTCATGGATGGTTACTGTTTTTTTATATGTTATGTCTGATTACTCTTTTTCGATTTTTTTAAATAACATATAGTTATGATGACCTGTTCTATTTCAAAATTTATTCATGTGCATTTGTTTTTTACTGTAACAACTTTTTGTTCAACTTTTTCCAAACATAAAAGATTATATTGCAAGTTCAAATTATTTATTCTTAAATCAATATTATATATTTTTATTTGATTATGCAATTATTTTTTAAATAAATTAATTTTTAAATGTCATAGTAAATTTCTTAAAATCACATACTCAATTGTTATAATAACTTTAACATTTTTCAGCTAATTAATTAGACATGATCCCTCAAAGTTACAAAAAATTATATTATTTATTACATTTTATGCAATCACTATAGTGATTCGTATGCAATCAAATCGTTATGTACTATTTATTTTAATCAATGATCAAATTCTAAAACATAACACTACTATCAAACTTATAATTTTAATATTATATATATAAATATAACTTATAATATTTATTTAGATTTGTGCAAATGCACATATCTAAATACTAGTATATTTTTATTGCAGAGTATGCTAAATAAACTATAAATCATTATAATGCACATTAGAAAAATCTTGATTATAGAAGGGATTGAGTTTTTGGAATTTTCTAAATCAAAGTTGTTTAATTAGCATACAAAATTAAATTAAAAAAAATCATGTATGTATATTTTATAAAATATTTATACACTATTTAATTTTAAATTTATTTACATATTGATTACATAAATAACTAATACTAACGTGCATTAAATATTTTTCATTACATAAGAAAAAAAAAAAAAAAGATGTACAACTTCTATAACTTTCATAAAAAAAAAATGACATTATATAGTAACAAAGTTTATAATTAAATAATAACTAAGTATCATATGGTAGACAAGAATAAATAAAATTGTTACTTTCTCTTATATCAAGGAATAAATATATATACTAAAATCAAATTTATATTAGTATAAATGTGTTAGTAGACACATTTTTGGTATGAAGCCAAACAGTTGACTCCATAGTGTACCTAACTTTCTATATACAACAAGTAAATGTGAGCTTTAGCATATTAATTATTTTACAAGTTAGCCCTAACATGCTCATATTTAATGTTCTTGCTAAAAAACAATGTTGATTAAAAGAGGTGGAAAATAAATACTCTGTTATTTAGACTTAACGGTAGTTAAGAGAGGTGGAAAATAGATGATAATCCTACTGCTTGTTAGACTCACAGAGCATGTGAAAATAACTCGTTTAATATCTTTGTCTCGTGCATCGCACGTGGTATGTACTAGTTTATGAGTAAACAATGGATCTTAACTATTTTATTTTTTGAGATCATATTGTTTGTTAATTTGAGTTACATTTTCTGCATTTTTCTTTTTAATTTTTTCTCAACATTGTGGTAAGTTTTATAGATTTCGACGACTTTAATGGACCTTTTCCGGCGCATATTTCAAGTTCCAATTTTCCTTTTATGTTTTTACTTATTATTTGTTCTAAATTCAATATATATTACATTCTAGTATACCCACATAACTGAAAATATTTTGTAAATAGAATGTATAGTACAAAGTGTAAGAATAGGACAAATGTAATTTTCTCTTTTAGTTCATACTTAAAAGAAAATTGGTTAAAATTGAAACTAATTAAGTTAGTATTATGTATGACATGTATTTACCTAGCCATCTAAGATATGCAACTCATTTATGTAAATTCTACATTTCTTCCCTTCTAAAGACGTTTTGCCACCAAATTATGCATTTATCTATGCATGTTTAATCTAATTTGTGGCCGTTCAATAACTAGAATTGACATCTAATGTCATCTTCTTTCATTCACCAGTTTTATCATTTCTTCATGACAGATTAATGAGTTTTGTAAGCAGAGCACTCTGTTTCATTTTCATAACAACATATATGAACTTCATCAACTAATAATATACTCATGAATTAAACAATACAAGCTTCTCCAGTCTTCTCACCCTTTTTCCTTGACAATTAAACAAACCTCAAACACGGATCCTTTTATTTCTCATCTCCGTAAACGACGCCTTCGTAATCTGCACGGTTAAACTAGGATTTTTTAGCGCGAAAGCTTCGAAATGCTCGGAAAAAACCACATCCTCCATGTTTCGAATGATGAAGTTCAAAGCCGTGTCCTTCAACAATTGGTTGGAACACGTGTCGGATATTTCCAATACGTCGAGCGCGTTTGAAGTGCTCAATGAGCCCAACATGTAGCTCTCGCAAAACCTCTTGAGAAACGGGATTTCGTATTTATCCGCAGCAACCAATAAAGTGTACACGTGCCTCTCGATTTTTTCTCTCTCGAGACTCCCTCCGTATAGAAACTCGAGGAGCGAACTCAACTCATCGTGGTTAAGTTCGGGAACAGTTAACGTGTTGTTCGGTGGGGCCTCGCACTCGTCCGAGTCGAGCATGTTTTGAAACATGCTCGATCTTGCTGCCTGTGAAAATTGTAATTGAACATTTACTAGACAAGGAAATCAAACATGAAAACTGAAAAATATGATTAATTATCATATCAATACATACCAATAAGGCTTTGTGTGCAGGAATAGAGGGTCCATCTTTTCCAGGCTTCACTTCAATATCAGTGTGAATCCCATCACTTAATATTACTGCAATTCCACTCAAATAATTTATCCTCTCTTTTTGCAACTCTTCATATTCCTTCATTTCCTTCACCCATTGTACCGCTTTTCCTAGTCCCTGAACCATAAACAATCACTGGAAACACGATTTTTAAAGCAAGGTTTTCCCAATCTTTCTTTAACTATTTTTGGAAAAGTGAAAATCATCACTTTCATCCCAAAAGCAATCGATATTAATTATTATTATTATTATTATTATTATTATTATTATTATTTTTACACACATCATTAAAAAACTATCTTTTTAACCTGACTAATTGGTTCAAAAAAGAAATTGGTCTTTTGAAAAACACAAATTTTTATAGGATGATTTTAGAAAATGTGTCACACAAGACAAATTCTCCAATGTGTCCTAATTATGGCATCAAGATTACACATATGTGGCTATATAAAATCAAAAATACTCTCTGTGCAGGGCATGTGAATAATATCACATCTTGTGATAAAAGTATAAAACTTGCAAAAATAATAATTAAACGGACCTAACAAAACCTACTAAAATACAACAAAAATTGCAAGCTATACTAATCAAGTTCAATTAACAATGTGTAAAGAAAATAAAAAAGAAAAGAGAACGCGATACCTTGGCCGAATTTGGTGAAGAAGAAGATGAGATACCACTGGATTTATTATCATCGCTATTTTCTTTATCAATTTTTTTCGTGAGAGTAACTATGCTTTTGGCATCTCCATAACAAACTCCACAGATTGAATATATGTTTGTGGGATATGGAGTGTGTTGTAAGCCAAGGCAAATAGCACAATAATTCATTCTTCCCCCCATTTTTTTTCTGTTGGTTTTTTGAGAGAAGAAATATTGTGAACGTGTAGAACCAAAATAAAAAAAATATTTAATTATTTATATAAGAACAAGAAAGGTATTACTATATGGTATCTAATCTCCCAGAATAAATCTCCTAATATCACGGCTAATTTACATACACGGTGCCACAAATTCTTATTTGCATATATACGACACATATAAAGTATTATCATATTATGATTTTCAGGAAATAACATTTACAATTATACGATTCTCATGTAGAATCCCTAAGATCTTGCCACCTTCTATTCCTCCTATAACAGATGCAATTAACAGTTTTTAAAACCCACTAAATACGCAAGTTATCTTGGATGGTATATTGTTGGTTTTGCATTTTTTCTTTTCATACCAAAACCAATCAACTATCTAGGATCAAAAATATTTTTTCCAAGATCATACACGATNATGTATACGACATATTTAAAAATGAAACTTAAAGGTAAATTATATTCATTTTTTTTAATCAGATGCGTTCAGACAATTTTGAATGTTTTTCCATGTAGGTAATATTTGAATTAATGGTGTTCTGGATCAATAATGAAATGATGATAATATTTGTATAATAATACTTATTTAACTAAAGTGTATTTATATACTTATTTCCTTCTAAAGACGTTTTGCCACCAAATAACTATCTATGCATGTTTAATCTAATGTGTGGCCGTTCAACTTCAATAACTAGAATTGACATCTAATTTCATCTTCCTTCATTCACCAGTTTTAACATTTCTTCATGACAGGTTATATTAATGAGTTTTGTAAGCAGAGCACTCTGTTTCATTTTCATAACAACATATATGAACTTCATCAACTAATAATATACTCGTGAATTAAACAACACAAGCTTCTCCATTTTTTCCCCCCTTTTTCCTTCACAATTAAACGAAACTCAAACACCGATCCTTTTATTTCTTATCTCCATAAACGAAGCCCTCGTAATCTGCACCGTTAGATGCGGATTCTTGAGCGCGAACGCATCGAAACGCTCGGAAAAAACCACGTCCTCCATATTTCGAACGATGAAGTTCAAAGCCGTGTCCTTCAACGATTGGTTCGAACACGTGTCGGATATTTCCAATACGTCGAGCGCGTTTGAAGTGCTCAACGAGCCCAACATATAGTTCTCGCAAAACCTCCCGAGAAACGGGATTTCGTATTTATCTGCAGCAACCGATAAAGTATAAACGTGCCTCTCGATTTTTTCTCTCGGGAGACTTCCTCGATATAGAAACTCAAGGAGCGAACTCAACTCCTCGTGGTTAAGTTCGGGAAGAGTTATCGTGTGGTTTGGTGGGGCCTTGCACTCGTCTGAGTCGAGTATGTTTCGAAAAATGCTCGATCTTGCCGCCAATAAGGCTCGATGCGCGGGAATAGAGGGTTCGTTTTTCCCGGGCTTGACTTGGATATCAGTGTGAATTTGATCCTTGAAAACCATTGCAAACTCACTCAAATAACTTATCTTCTCATTTTGCATCTCTTCCATTTCCTTCATCTCCTTTATCCATTTTAACGCGTTCGCAAATCCCTAATCGATGAGTAAATCGATATGTATGTATGTATTTAGCAACCACGTTTTAATTTCAAACAAATCGATATATATGAAGAAAAGAACGTACCTTAGTTGAATTCGATGAAGAAGAAAAATTGTTGCTCGGATTACAATCCGAGACCTTTTCGCAGTCGAATTTGTTAGTTAGAGTGATTATGCTTCGGGCTCCATCATAACAAGCTCCACAGATTGTGTTTCTTGGAGGCCTAAGAATATAAGGCAAGGCACTGCAAATGCAACAGTCCATTATGTGCTTGTTTTACAAGATTTTTTGTTTTTTCACAATTTGCAGAGGAAAAAAAT